AACAGAAGATACCAGGGAGATTCTAGGAAAGCCCTGCACACACAGGTGTGTCCTAGGACTATAACAGGTAACCCACTCCCAGGGCTCAACATCATATTTCTCACATACCCCAAGCATTTTAGATTCATATTACATTGTTACTATCTCTCTGGCATTCACCTCTAATTGCCTTTTCACTCTCTCTTTTTCTTTAAATGACTACAGGCCCCTATCTAAGGAGGGAAGATGAGGCCGAGCTCATAAATTAAGAGGTGATCTCAAGAAGCAAGAGAAGGCTGTCTCTCCCAGCACTGGAGAGACAGAAGCAGGCAGATGTTTGTGAGATCAAGGTCTACATAGTGAGCTCCAGGATACCTGGGGCTACAGGGAGACCCTGCCTCAAAAAAAAAATAAAAAAATAAAAAAGAATAGAGAAGAAACAGCCAGAAAGCCCACAAAGCCTCTGGCATACCTAAAGGCTGATTTCCCACAATGGAATCCTTTCAATTATAAGTCTGATAAAAGATATGATAGAAAATCATAGGCCTGAAAAGAACTTTCCAAAAAAAAAAAAAAACACCAACTCTTTGTTTTACAAGTAAGCAATTGAAAATAACTGAGGAGAGTGTGAGGGTAGAAATGATTTGTTCAGGTCTGGAAGCCTGTGGCAGGAGGATCAAAAGTTTGAGGTCAACCTGGGATACACAGCAAGACCATTTCCAGAAAGTGGAAGTGAGAGAGAGAGAGAAAGGGAGGAAGGGAAGAAGGGAAAAAAAGAGAGAAGGAAAAAGAAAATTTTAACCTATTCAGAAAGAGATCAATATGCTGAAAATCTTCACCACCATTATTTCAGTTACTTCCCCCAAAGTGAGTGAGCACTAAGCCCAAGCCACCCACACATGCAAATATGAAAGAGGCAGGGAGGCCACAGAACATTCACATTGGAATGGCTCATGATCTGTGTGTGTGTGTGCACGCGCACACACACACGTACTATCCCTCCAAATGAGACTGAATATCACCATTCCTTAAATGTGACACATGCAAATTTCTCCGTATTTCAAAGGGACACCAGAAACCTCTACAGTATAGCCTGAAAAACAGGACTTTGGGAATGGTCTGAATAGAACACATCAATTAAAATCCTCAGCTACTGAAGAAAGACAGTTTCCACAGAGGCCAGGTCAAACTGCCATGGGCAGAGTGGGGAAGGGATGTGGTGAGCCTGTGGGACCTCTTTTTATCTTCACTCTGCTTTTCATCCAGTCTAACAAAGCAAAATTCCTCAAAACACTAATCCATTACTTCCCTGAAAGATTAAGGGAAGAAATACACAGGAATAGTGTTTTGTGAGGAGAGTCCTGAGAAAATTTCCCAAACTTGTGGAGGCCAGATAGGAAATCTAAAGCTCCCGGTCACTGGTCCAAGTCTTGCCTTCCTAGACACTAGGAGCACTCTGTGATCTAGCCCTGTGGACTACAGAACCTCCTCTCATAGGCCTGTTCACTTCAACTTTCCTCGTGGTGGGATCCTTTCTTGGTGCAGCTGTGAGCAGAGACCTTCAACATCCTGAAAGCAAGAAGCGATCCATACACCTTGCAATAGGGAGACACACGTCAAGTGGTCACTTCTCAATCCACCCCTAACTACATTATCTTTTGCCTACTTCTGGTTTGCTAAACTCCATTACGCATTCTTAAAGAAGGGATATTTTTCCACACTGCATCTCCAAGGCGTAAAGGAATGACAAAAGAAGACCTTTCTGTGCAGCCCAGGGTGTCTATCCCTACCACAACATACGCGCGCGCGCGCGAACTCTACTCTCTCTCTCTCTCTCTGTCTCTCTCTCTCTGTCTCTCTCTCTCTCTGTCTCTCTCTCTCTGTCTCTGTCTCTCTCTCTCTCAAATAAATAAATAAATAAATAAATAGATAAATAAATAAATAAATAAATAAATAAAT